CTTTAATTGCATTCAAGCCCCCTCACCCAAATTTTTATTTTTAATTAAATAGTTATATATAAAAATGAATAAATAAACAATTTAGATGCACTAACGGTTTTCTCACGCAACTACTCCTCAAATTCAACCAACAGCCTCTCGCAACTCGCAAGCAAAGGTCACATTTTATATGTCAGAGAAAAAAAATCCGGCGAGAAGGAATATTCCGTCGTATCGGAGGGCAGCCAGCCGCAAGGTCGATGACAGCAGATGGGGAAAGCTGCGGAGGCCACCGGCGAAAGCCGGTGCACTGAGGCGGACCAAATCGGAGCCGTCACTGCAGAAGCAGAACGCCCGCGGCGGAGAAGCCTCACCAGAGGAAGACGATACGACGTCGTATTTGCCGCATACGTGGACATACATGCTCTCGTCTCTGGATCTATCGGTGCCTCGATCGCCGGAAAAATGCCTCCCGGTAATTAATTTTGATTTTATAGGAAAAATTAGCTTGCAAACGGAGCTTTACTTGGATAAATCAATTGGTTATTTATTTATTTATTTATTTATGCTTTCATTTTTCAATCGGATTGGGTTAATGGCTATTGTCCAATTGTTTTTAAGACTAATCACATGATAATTGTTTCTTGAAGCTTGACTAGCTATTTGGGGAAACTTGTGTAATTTTTAGTAGGTCAGGAATTAATTATTGATTCTGTCTATCTATGGGTGCAATTACAATCAACATATATCTGCACACAAATACTCTATTTTTAGAAGCCATGGTTTGGTACAGAGCTCAAGAAAATGTTCAGGCAAGATTTGATCATGCCTAACAACAATTCCATAACACAGGCTTACAATAGAGATGCAAAAGTTGTGGTGAATGTGACGGTTGAGGGAAGTCCGGGCCCGATTCGGGCTATGGTCAAACTAGGGTCAAACATCGACGACACCATAAGGCTCGTGGTTGATAAATACAATGAAGAAGGCCGAACCCCACGTCTCGAAAAAGATGCGGCCAAAGCATGCCAATTGCACCACTCGCACTTTAGTCTCGAGAGTATGTTCTAGTTAAGCTCCTTAATTTCTGATTGATTTTTTGTGGTTGGTTTTTTATGTTCTTGTATATGTTTATCTTAAACCATTGAAGATTACATGCCAAAATTTTGGTCCCACGCCTAATAACAGTACTTGGATTAACAGCTGAAAAATAGACAACTGTGTTGGGAAATGAATGTGACATTTTGCTCATCTTCGTATCTGTGCTAGGTTTTATAAGAGTAAACAAACATTTGGTTGTTTGTTATCAGGCTTGAACAGATCGGATTTGATCGGTGATATTGGCAGCAGAAGCTTTTATCTTCGGAAGGGCAGCAGTTATGATAGTCGAGCTGTCTCGATAAGTGGACCCTCTGACTCGTCTCTTTGTTTCCTTCCGAGCTTCATAAATCGAGGGATCATGAAAATCTTAGAAAAAGAACAGAAGTTGCGGAAATTGTTCAGCTGCATGCCGTGGATTGAATGATGAATTGTATGTAATCCATACCTTTGCTAGAGCAACATAAATATTACCTTGTTGCTCTCTTGTATTTTCTTCTATATACCTAAAAAGATATTGGACTTTGGTTGTGTAAATTCGGTGATTGGAGAAATTAGGACATACTAGGGTTGTAAATTCAATTTCCAGCGATGGGATCAAAATGTAATCATCAAGTTCAACGTGATGTAAATTTTTTGCTTCATTGATGCCCACATAGTTTAGTTACTTGTTTATGATACTAGACATAATAAATAGATAAATAAACAAATAAAGAAAAATAAACATATGGAAATTTTCCATAAACATAAACTAATCAAAACAAAAGTCTCGTTTTCAGTTTTGTCCCTCTTTTTTCGTCGTGTTTATATTAAGATGATGATAAATGCATGTGGTACGGTGTCATATTATCAAGAACCTTCCTTTATGCCAAACTCAATAAGTGGGAGGAAAAAGAAGATAGCAAAAGAAGAGAGAACAATTTAATACAATTGAGCTTATTGACATCACACATGTACAAAAAGACATTATCGTAATCCTTCCATTATAGTAATTTCATCATGTCTTAATCAATTAGATGAACTCTTTATCTGTACCTGGATATTGATGCCAAAACGGGTTTTGGCTTGTTTGCCGTCCGGCCAGCAGTGGCGGCAACGGTGGTGGTGGAGGAGGAGATGGTCAGTGGTGATATTTAACAAAAATCGTCGTTAATTCAACATGAATACACAAGAACAGTTTGGGATCGGTTCGGAGTTAACGAAGGTGGCGTCTCAAATTTCCAGCTTTCTTAAATTATACATTAGTAAAAATCTTTTAGCTCGTGTTATATTACATATCTTGTATTAATTTTTGTTGGTCCCAAAATAAATTAAAGTTTTTAGATTAAATTAATGAATTACACTTGAACATGATTTTTGAGTCAATTTTCACTTTTTTTTTTCTTATTATGCTGATTCTCATCTTCTTTTTGTGTTTATTTTCATTATATGGTTAAATAAGTTCATTCGAATGATTTTATTCGGGTCAATACTTGGTATGAAACTGAATATTTGGATTTCATAATCTCTTTTATATAGAGAAAATTACACCACGGACGAGATCAATTGAATTATATTGCAATCTTACGATCCATTTAAAATATTTAGCATATTTAACAAAATTTAATATCTTATTTGCCATAGTACGAGAAACAGGTGAGATATAATTTCCTTAATTATAGGGAGTGCAGATTTAATGATATTTAATATTGAGAGAAAACTGACTACTTTAATATCGAGAGAAAACCTCTTCCTCTTCATCTTCCACCGCCATGCCTCCGCCTTCTGCGAACAAGCCCGATCAATCTTGGAGTTCAAAAAAGGCATCAAATCCGCCCCTTCCGACCTCGTCTTCTCCTCATGGGTGTCCCTCGCTGACGCCTCCGCATGCCCCGACGACTTCTATTGTGTCCTCTGCTACGCCGCCGCCTTCGCCTTGGTCGTCGTCGCTCTAGACGGCTTTGGTCCCACCGGATTCCTGAAATTCAGCAACCTCATCCCGCTCAACCTCATCTCGCTCCCAAGGTCGAACGTGTTTGTCCTAGACGCCTTGAGGAGACGAAGGACGATCGGAGAATTTTGTTGTTAGATTTTAGTTGAGAGGAGGACCAGAATAGACGGTATATATGTTGTATATGTAGTATATTTATATATTTTTTTGTTGTATGTATATATACTGTATAGTTTTTGTATATATACTGTTTATATTTTTTCGTATGCACACTATTAGAGTGTGTATAGTTTGAATTTTTTGTACGAAAGATTTGAATTGAAAATCATAATGATCGGCATGATCCTAGAAATATATATTGTATATTTTTCGTATATATACTGTTTATATTCTTTATTTTTTCTGTATATGTTGTGTTCTTTGCTTAGAAAATGATCCTAGGTATATATAGTGTATATTTTTCGTATATATACTGTTTATATTCTGTATATTTTTCTGTATATTTGCTGCTCGTGATGGGATGACATTGCTCCTGATTGTTTAGTTCATTTTTTTTTTTAAATTAATGAAATAATTACGAGATTCTTGGGATGGTAACTTTTTATTTTTTGTTTGGCAGTTATATTATAGTTATCCAAATAATTATATTAACTTAGGTATACTTGTAAATAAATTTTTATTTTGTATTTATGCAATTATTTTAAAATCCTTAACGTAGAAATGCAAATCACCCTTTTATATATTCATTGAAGTTTTAAGTAGATGATATTTGCCATGATGAGCCCTAACACTCGAGGCCTTCGGTGGCGAGTAATTAGTATAAATAAATGATATAATACATGAAACTACTTACATTTAAATTGAGACTTTTAATTAAAAAAAACATTTTGTTCGGGAAAATTCTAAAGATATTTAAACCTTATAATAATTGGTTGGGAAAGCCCAGCAGTATTTGCAAATTAACAATTTATTTTAGGTAAAAAAAAAAAAAAAAAAAAAAGAAAACAATAATAATAGTTCAGGATTTTACACTTTCATATATCACTATTACAGCACCCACAATGTTTTGGGTCTCTTAACAAAAAATCACATGTCAGGTAAGAAATAAACATAGTCTATAAAAGAGTGTTTCACAATGCAATTAAAAGTGAATATAGTCTAACTTATGTGGCAATGAAAAAAATAGATCAAGTCCATTCTTGGGTCTATTTTGGACCCAAGTGTGAACCTTACCATAGGAATCATTTATTATTATTATATTTTTATTGGTTGTTAGGTATTCTAGACTTAGTATTTTTTTTTTTTTTTTTTTTTTGCATTGGATAGATTTTAAAATTTTTAGCTTAAGTTGAGTTTGTACATGTCATTATAGATTTAAGTCTATTTATATTTGGCATATATGCAAAAAGATACCAAAGTAGGTGCTTTTAATGACATCACAAGTTGCACATGCCTAATCAAAACCGGAAACAGACACCAAATCGGACTAAAAAAAGGAGTACGTTTTACAGTATATAGCCTCGGTATAGTTTGAGAATTTTGGAACTCCTAAAAAGCTCGGGCATTGCACTTGCACGCATCTAAGATTCTCTGTTCAACACCTGACAATACTTTTGCATCTTCCTTTCCCAATCGCTAGGGTTTCAACACCGATTATTCTTTACTTTCTGAGTCAAACACCGGCCAGGGCGCGTTGTATTAGTATAGTCCCTTGCGCTTTTAATCATCACCAGTCACCACCACCATCGTCTATCTTTAGCTTCAGTCCTCTGCCTTGGCCTCTAAGTACCGAAGATTGAGTATTGCCCAGAAAATCGAAAAGGGGGGAAAACGAGGCTATGGGAGATGTGTTGGCGTGGCTGCTCTTCTTCTTCATACTCGTTGCTCTTGCTGTTATGATCATTTTCCAGGTTATTATCGTAAATACCGTTACTGTATATGCTTTTGTTAGATTTTTTTTTTTGGTTTATCCTCTGTTCATGAAAGTGTTAAGTTTGTGGCAAGATGGGATTTTTACTGGGTTAGCTCTATCGATGTGTAATGTTGTAGAAACTATTTTTTTGCTGGGGTAAGTTGAAAATTGAATCTTTGGGCTCCACGAAAAGGTGGAACTTTTTCTATATTAGCTTGTAATGTAGTTGAAAGTATTCGTTTGTGTTTGCTGGGGTAAGTTGAAAATTGAATCTTTGGGTGGAAAGTAAAGATGGGATTTTAAAGAGTTGCCTGGTGTGAGTCTTTGGGTTGCTTCTGAAAAATACTTGCCAATCTTAATCGCATGTACGATTCCTCAATATAAAGCACACAACTGTTTTACTTTTGAACAAATATATCTACGTACTTTTTATTATTACTATGCCTTTGGAATTACCAATATTTCAATGTTAGTTTGGTGTGTTATTTCTAGTATTTTGATGGGTTGAATATGATATGAATCAGTAAGGACTCTTGTTATGACATTAGTTATGTTCTTAATGTTTCATTTCTATGTACACCCCTCCTTAATTATCTTTGATATCACTGTTATATCTGTCTAAATTAATGTTTACGGGAACTGAGTAGAAATATGAACACAATATTAGTTAGTCCTAAAGTCATGAATGGAAAATCCAATGTCCTAACTATATTAATCAACACTTTCTTAATCTGAAGTAACTATAAGGCTATAGTTATGGGACAGAGGGCACATAATATTTGGATTGTTTAAGGGATTTATCTAACATGAAGGAGTGTGCTTCAAGTGTGGTTTCCATGGATCATATTTTGGAGAGTGATATTCTGTGTGCTGCATTGAAAATTCTTTTTATATTCAACATACAAGCTCTGGATACCTTAGTTCTGTGTTTCACATTAGCATAACTAGGTTTCAATGGATTGGGATCTCCGTTTAGACCTTTACTTATGCTCAAAATAATGTTGGCATGATGATTACTTCAGATGGTATTGTATGATTATTTTTAAAAGCGTATAATTTTCGTTCTCATGCCAGATTTAGTTGGCTCCAGATTAAGAAAATGATGCTGTTTTCTGTTTCTAACGGATTTAGTATTGTTGTATGGCTATTGCAGCATTTCAATTTTCTTTTAACAGCTCACTAATTTGACGGTGGTTAGAAAAACCAGAATTTTTTTTGTTGTAATTGTAGCTTTGTGAGCAAAGTATTGGACTCATCTTTCTAGTTAGTTTAACGGTCGTTCCAAAAAAAAAAAAAAGAATCAGCCCTTGCTACTTAAGTTTGTCTTTTGTTTACATTTCGTGTTATACGCATATCATGCTGATTCCTCAATACCAATTATCTTGTACTGCAGTTTATGTGCTTGGCGGATTTAGAGTGTGATTATATCAATCCTTACGACTCGGCCTCTGGAATAAACAAAGCGGTTTTGCCAGAATTCATCACTCAAGGAGTTCTATGTTTCCTCTTCCTAGTAACCGGACATTGGTTTATGTCACTTCTGTGTGTTCCTTACCTGTACTACAACATCAGATTGTAAGATCCTTCATCCATGCTTCAATCCTTAATTTAATCTTATGAGGAAAATTGTGCTCACAAATCATTTGCTTCTTGATGCATATTGAAGTTACTGTTACAAGTTATAGGAAAAACTATGTATGCATGTGTGCGTGTTCATATATTTGCATTTTGCTATTATGATAGTATGCTACTTGAAGGAAAAACAATTTAAACCAAGTCATAGAACCATTAACCATATATTTAAATGAATTTGGAATAGTGAACTTGTTTTTTCTCGTGTCAGGTATCTTCGAAGGCAGCACCTAGTTGATGTAACCGAGATCTTTAACCAGCTCAATTGGGAAAAAAGGCTAAGACTTGTCAAGCTAGGGTATATCGCGATTCTTCTCGTCATGAGCTTGTTCTGGTCAGTGAACTTAACATCCTCCCCCTCAATTATCAAAAGCATTATATTTTTACTCATTCGACCCTCTAAAGGAGAAGTGCACTTACACTATCATTTTTTTCCCCTTTCATTTTTTCTGCAGGATGATTTACAGTGCTCTCGAAGATGACGTGTAGTCAGCTGTTCTATTTTTTTCCCCGCACTTTGGTGGCACGAGCATTGCAAACTGCAAGCAACTAGCTTTGACTGGCTATTTCAGTTCAACTTGTGTGCTTGTAAGTTGCAATTCGGGTTTAGTGCTGGGTGTATTAGATATTTAGTATTTAGTATCAACTTATATATTGACTCGTGCCAGAGTCGAGTACCGTTTCTTGATTGATAGTGCAATCCAGTTGATTTGTTTGTTTATTTTTATTTTTATTTTTTATTTATTTATTTTTTATTTTTTTCTGGAAAGATTTCTTTCATGGCTTCATCTACTTGGACACTGCTGAAATTCTTGATGTTAGTTTCAGAAGCTTGTCAATGTATTAATTTCAGTAATAGCAGCAAACAAGAATATTTATTCACAAGAATGTTTAGCGTAGGTATGTTTCACAGTATTCTTAATCCTACTCTGCAAAATAATCAAATTTTCAAGACATGTGTTAGATTTTTATATGAAACCCGTTGTCATGGACTCATTATTGTATTTTCCTTTTTTTTTTTTGTCATTATTGTATTTGACGAACTGCCTCTTGGTAAACTCATTTCACTCTGTTTGTCAAATTAATCGTTTGCGTTAGAGTCGAAAGGCTTCAGACTTAGTAGGACGAAGATCGAGTACATGACGTGCGCTTTCAGCACGGCTTCACATAATGATGGTGACGTTAGCCTTGACGGGCAAGTGGTGGCTAAGAAAGAGACTTTCCGGTATTTAGGATCGATGCTACAAAAGGATGGCGGCATTGATGCTGATGTTAGGCATAGAATTGCAGCCGGTTGGTTGAAATGGCGTCAAGTGTCGGACGTTCTCTATGATAAGAAGGTGCCACAAAGGCTAAAAGGTAAGTTCTATAGGACGGCGATTCGCCCGGCAATGCTATACGGTGCTGAATGTTGGCCTACAAAAAGGCAACATGTCCAACAACTAAGTGTAGCAGAGATGCGTATGTTGCGTTGATTCTGCCGGCACACAAGAATGGATAGAATCCGGAATGAGGATATTCGAGATAGGGTCGGTGTGGCTCCAATTGAGGAAAAATTGGTCCAACATCGGCTGAGGTGGTTCAGACATGTCCAACGGAGGCCTCCTGATGCACCGGTGCGTAAGGAAGTTCTACAACGGGTCGAGGATGTAAAGAGAGGTAGAGGTCGGCCTAAACTCACTTGGGAAGAGTCGGTTAAGAGAGACTTTAAAGATTGGAATATCTCCAAGGATTTAGCGGTGAATAGGAGCGCTTGGAGGCTAGCAATCCACGTGCCAGAACCGTGACTTTTGCTATTTTCTCTTTTTGTTCCAACCTCTTCCTTTTGTTTCGAGCCCTTTTTGTGTTTATCTTCCCATTGTGTTTTTCTTCCCATTGTTTCTCTTGGGTTTCATCTCTAGTCTACCCCAACTTGCTTGTAACTAAAAGTTATGTTGTTGTTGTTGTGCGTTAAATGTTGTAACAATTAAAAAGGTTTCGTAAATCCATTTATTCAATTTCTCCAATTACCTTAAAAATTGCTAATAGACTTTTAAGTCTAAAAAGTAAAAAACTACTCTTCTTGTCCTATGCAGAAAATGATACCAAGCATGATAACTGCTTGGACACTGGAAAATACTTTTGGTCTCTCCCAAAAA